CGATTGAGAAGTACACTTCCATTTCATCCAAAGCACGTTGCAAAACCATTATGTTGCATTAACAAAAATACAACCAAGACAAGTTATCACTACCTTCCCAGCCAAGCTCTCCAAAAATTCTATCTTCTTCTCGATCGACATGCCACGAGAATCCGCATCACCTGTGAAATCAACCCAATAAGACAACGGAGAGAGAAAATTGAACAAATATAATAGAACCCCACAAGATTGATTTGGAGTTCGGGAAAGAATTCGCTCTGGTAGGGTTCGCCCAAGTGTAGATTCCGTAAAAGGGAAACCAGAAACAAATTAAGCAGCGGACATGATTAGCAAGAGAGAAGAAGAAGAAGAAGTACCTTTGATGGGATCGAGGAGAGGGGAAAACGTGAGACGATTCTCTACTCGCTTGAGAACATCAGTGGACGCCATGACTGGGGACGGAAATTTGGAAACAGAGTGGTTCTTGAGGTTTGTCGATGGGATTCAACTCTTGATCGAAGGCTGATTTGAGCTGGCTGAGCAAACGAAAAGCGGTAATCGGCGGAGGATGAAAATGAAGATGACAAAGATCTGAAAATGGGGCGAAATCCAAATCCAACGAACGTGGCCTTAGAAATTGAAAGAGGAACAGATGAGGGATTTAGATGCGGAAGAATATTCTTTCACAAATCTTTCTCCGCCGTCCACCGCCACCGAGACCGCTTCGTGAAATGACAAAAATATCCTTCAGACGGTGACTGGTAGGCCCGACCCGATCTCCAACACGGATCCAGCTCATCCAGGTTCCACTACCTTTTTTTTTCTTTTTTTTTATTTATTTATAAAATTGTGATGACGGTTTATACTGTGAAAATTTGATTTTTGAAATTTTTGCAATTTATAAAATAAAACCTAAGGTTTTGAAATTATTATTTAATTTTAAATTCTGATTAAAATTATTTCTTTCAATTTTATAATATAAATATTATTTTAATTTCGATAAAAGTAACGGAATAAACAAAACAAAACAACTACGTTTGAAATTTAATTTTTTTTTACATAGAAATTTAAAATATTAAATATGAAGTGTCATGTCTGACTACAATTGTTAAGAAATTTAGGTGAATTGTAAGAAAATAAACTTAGTTGAATTGGTAAAGTTGGATATAACAATAATTTAACTTCAATTTTTTTAGTTCGAAAAGCAATATATTTTTGGATTTAATGTCAATAAGCTTTAATACTTATTCCATTTTAGCTTTCAAACTTTTAAACACTATACTTTGAACTTTTCATTTAAGAAAAACTATTTTAGTAATTGTCATTAAATTTTTTTTTTTTATAAATCTATTTAACAAAAATTGGACATATATAGACATTTTATTTCATTAACCTAATGAGTAAAGTGATTATGTGGACAAATATTTGAAGTCACGTACTCCAGATTAAGTTAATTTCATATGCCTAAACAGATTCATATTTTAAAAAATGATTAATAAAAAAGTAACAAATGGATAAAAGAGTTACATATTTTGTGCTTTATTGAAAAGTATTCATGAGAAGTAATTTTCTTTCAAGGGTTCTCATTTTCTTTTAATTCTTTAGACAGGGATTTTACATTACAATAAAGAAAGTCTGCCATATGAATGGAGTTTATTCTTATATTTCCTTATTTGTGGACATAGGTAACTTTTTCTTTCTCTCTCTTTATTTTTTTCCCCATTAAATTTTCGAGTTTGAGTAGGGTCGGGTTGCTCCGTCAGACTTTTGTCCATTGTGGAAAATTTCACACTGCTGGCTTTTGTAAGAGTCTGGATCGTGTCTCGGACCAACTACCTGATTATCGTCTTAGTAAACTATTACCTTAATCTGATGCAAACCCCTCTTATTTTTTGGTTAATGATACGTCTTAATCAATTGAGTTATACTTGAGTTAGACAAATATTTCTTCTTTAATTAGTTAAAGAAAATGAATTTCATTTATTTAAACAAATATTTATGGGCTAAAATTTAAAAATTCAAAAACCAAAATAATTCTCTTTAAAAATGGGAAGAACTTCGGAATAAATTTGACTCCGAGAGATTGAGGACCACAGGCCAATAGTAAGTTAACAACTTTGAGATATTTCTATTATTTTATTAAAATTCATATCTTATCAATATCTCTTTGTCGGCGTTTCTCTCACTACAATCTCTCACCTCCATCTGTTTTCTCAATCTCTTTCACTTTTTTTCTCTCCCTGCAATTTCTCACCTCCAATTTTTCTCCATTTTTATTTGACTGATTTTATAATAAACAAAAAAATCTAACTAAGAATCACAAATACGTTAAATATCTCATGCATCACGTATTTATTGATTTAAAAAATTGGAGTGATGGGAGAAATTGGTAAAATTACTCCTTCCAATTTATATTTCTATTTGCTATTTCTTTTTCGAATATGGTTTTTTTCAAAAATATACTCTTTCCACACTTAACCAAATATCATTTTGTTTTCCCTCCTCCCTACAAGAGAACTAAAAAAAACTAACTCACTTGTTCAGAATCAGTCGTTCTTTATTCTCAATTATTAGAAGTTGTTGATGTGTTTCTTACATTGTTGCCATATGCCTCCCAATTTAATCAAACTGTTGAGAATATGTAGTATTTCATTTAAAACATGAGGAAGAATGATAAATGATAAGGAAAATAAAAAGCAAAAAATTATTATACAGATGTAAATTGTTATTCTATAACTTGGATACGAACAGTGGAAGAAATGCGTCACAGAAAAGGGGAAGACGAGAGAATGTGGACACAAAGAAGAGGGAAGGTCGTTTGGAAAAAAGTAAAAGATATATTAAAGAAATATTGATTTGATATGAATTTAATAAAATAATATCAAAATCTCAAAATCTCAAAGTAATATATTGAATAATACTCCCATTCATTTATCAACCATATCAACATCAACGAGTCCTATAGAAATGTTGTTCGAAAATGAGAAAATAACTAAAAGAAAAAAAAAGATAGAATTAGGGATTTTTTTTTTCCTGAAAGAGACAATTGCAATTCCTTTCTACCTTTTCTGACCCTATGGATTTTACAATGTAATAAAAAATAAAGGTTGCCATAAGAATGAAGGGGAGCTTTATAACTTTACTAATTCTCATGTATGTACATATGTAAATACTAATTAGGGTCAAAAAAATCCTTTTGTTAATTGGTTTGGAAAGTTAATTTCATTCATCTAATGTTTGAAAGATTTTTTTTAGTACAAACACTTTCCCAAATTTATAAATTCAAGTTTCATTAAATGTGGAGGTTGGTAGGTTGAAATTTGGAGTTTCTTGTCACACATAGTTCATTTTTTTTTTAATTAAATTTAAAGTTCTCATTTTAATTTAGACTAAAATCTTTCCTAAATATTTAAGTGTATCCTTTAGAAGGGAGAAAAATATATGCATTCACATGTATAAAATTTTTCGATACTCTTCCACTTAGCTCAATGAATTAGTTTTAACTTAAAACTTCCAATTTTATCCCATGAAATCCTAGATTTGAATAAATGGTGAAGTTAATATCTCCTATATTATTATGAATGGGAAAGATCCTTATTTTCTCCCATTTTCGAATTTGTGGGGAATTCATAAGGAGATGATATTTTGATGGTTAGAAGATATGAGAAGATATATAAGGAGAATGTATCTTGATGATCTTATACTGATGACCTCGGGATTTTCCCGATATACTAGAACCATATTAAATGTTAATGGAATTATCAGTCACATTGTTCTAGCATGTTGGAAAAATTAAAACCCAAAACTTAAGAGCAATAGATCGATTTTCCATTTCAATTTAAGAGAATTAATACCAAAGAAGCGGAAGCGGTACCTTAATCCATTATTGAATGTCAATTGATGTATTTGATCTTCCAAGTCTAGATGAATTATGATTTTTCTCTGGTTTCTACTTTGTATATTCGTAGAAGAAGAATCAGATTCTCTGTGGAAGGATAAAGAAACTGACGTGATGATTATAGTAACTTGGGGACCATAACCCCTATGTAATTCTGACCAAAAACACTACGGGCGATTACAAGATTTTGATATTTCCAATTTGGCCCTTTATCAAATTGGAAACTATTTTATATTATCTATACATTTTGTCTATAGTCATTTTATAATTACTCTGTACACCAAAACTTAAACATAATTAGATCCCTCATCTCGATCTAATTAAATAGCAAAAACACATTACATGTGTTACCCTATATCGTTAAAAACTCCAAACATAACCTCCTCACATAATTTCCCTTATAGCTAGCCACGAACTAACACATTGTAAGTTTCATCATTAATTCAAGCGTAGGGTTAAATTTGCATAAAATGAAATTGATCTAAACTAAAAAAAATGGTGCTTTTTCCCCCTAAAATCATTGTTTTATTCATGGCTACTATATGAAAAGTGACCTAGAAAAATATGATACAATAAAGAAAGATTCACACATTGCTCCTATTCCAAAATAAGGCTATGACCCTTATCCATTATGGTCAATTCATCACTCTTATGCCCATGCCTAGCCCTTTTACTTTGTGGGTTTGCCAAAGTTTTCTAGGCATGTTTTTTCTCTTCCCATTGATTTTGTAATCATGAGCAATCAATGGGCACTTTATTGGATAGTGATTGATTTGAAAGCCAATGCAATTAAATTTATTCAAAATGGGAAATTACTTCATCTTCTTTTGTTCATCATTGAATTCTTCTTTCCTATCTTTTTAGGGTTCCAAATATATAAATAATTGGTATTGCAATCATTTGGCATATGATTTTTTTWAAAAAAATATACTTTCAAGCTTAGTGATTTCATGCTCATAAGCTTGTTATTAGATTTGATTGAAAAGGCAATGATAATCCTAAAGAAAGTAGGCATGAAATATGATAGATTGGAAACCACTCAAAAGTTTTCACTTTGGAAAAAAAAGGGATAAATTTAAGATCTTAATCTCAATCTTTCCCACTTTTATTGCTTATCTAGAGTTGTGGAACCTTCTTTTCTCTAGCGTTTTGTGGCTAATCGAGCCACAAAGTAAAAGAGAAAAAGAGAAGAAGAAAAAAAAAAGAAAGAAATTGTTCGTGTATGAAAAGTTTCTTTTTCTTCTCTTTTTCTTTTAGGGAATGAACTTTGACCCTATGTGAACGAAACTAAACCTTAATTTATTTGATCGATTCATATCACGATTATATATTTGTTTATTTCAATAGTTGATTTAAACATTAGTTTCCATATAACAATAGTGGTAAAGAAATATGATGACATTAAGTTTGTCATATAAATTGAGTTTGGCGAAAGAAATATAGGAAATTGAAACTTTTCCCTTTTCTAATCTCAGCCCTTTTTTTAGTACAACATATTAGAGTATGAAGTTCCAACCTCTGACTTCAAGAGAAAGAGTAAGTGTCTATTACCGTCGTACTCATATGGCATCTTTCAACCCTTTTAACCAAATACTTAGCTTCTAATCAATCACATTTAATATTTTGTTTGATTGAGCTTAATTATTCCTTAATTTAAATTTTGAAACTGCGAGCATAGTTCCACGGTAATCGACATATACCTCTTTTCCATGAAGTCAAAGGTTCGATCCCCCATATCTCCAAAATTGTTATGTACTAGCTAGAACATAGCTCAGCGAGAATTTGCATATATATATATATCTCCAATTAAGAGGTTATGAGTTCGACCCCATCCCACTTGCTGTACTAAAAAAAAATCCAATTAATTTTCAGCTTAAACAATTGTATGTCTTTAGAATATTTTATTACTAGATAAACAATAATTTTAAACAGTGCCTTTTTTTTTTTAATACACCTTTAAATTGCCCTTTTTAATATGTTATGGCAGAACCATATCTAGAATAGGCATGGGGTTCTGTCAAAGTCACAACTTGGAGGAGGGAATCAAATGGTTTTCCTCTTAAAAGAGAGAAAAAAAAATTCCCTTTTTGAGTCCATATCTCATTTATGCCATTTTTATAAACCAAGAATCTCAAGATTGTCACACAGCACCTGCAATAACGTTATACTTCATCTAAAAATATTCAAGCACAAAAGTATTGTACCTCGAAAGGACTGAAATTTTCCTCAATTATCACGATTATGCGGTTCAAATTATCCGGTTTCAATTTTGATATATGTATGTTTCACATCAAGTTGTTAAATCTAGTACCTCTAAAAGAAGGAAGTGACTTTTACTTATGATCGTTCGATCCTAAGTGTATCGAAATCAAATATATATCTTTTTGCACTTTTTAGTGTGGTATATAGCTGTTTGAAATTAATGTACCAATCAATATGACATATGATCATAAAAGAGAAAATCCTAAAAGGGTTCTAAATTTAGCTTGGTATAAGTAGAACTATTGGAGCTGAATAATTGCCTACCAGGTGTCAATATCGAAAGTTGCTATCCACTTAGATGAAGTGAAAAACTGGACGAGGCATATCGTTTAGTATATTTGAAGTTGCTCTACAACTCATGCCAAGTCAGACTATATCTCGCATCTCGACCGATGTATTCTCAAAGGACGAGTCGACCTTGAAGAGCGTCGGCAGGTGCAAGCACCAAATATAATCTCATAAAATACGTCATAATTATTGGGGCGGTCGGAGAGCCATTGGAACATTGTTGAAAACCCTGTCAAAAGCTCACCGCTATAAATAGAGATCCTCRCCTTCTGCCCAAATTACACAAAAATATATTCTCTCTTGAGAATAGATCGGATGAGTGTTAGAGTGCTAACTTTACTTTAATCCTTTTGTTCGTCGGTATCATCCGTACGAACTTCACTAAAGACTCGATCATTTTCTTGTTCAAACAAAAACAATATTAGAAAGTAGAGTGCAGAAAGTTTTTGTGGTTATTTTAGTAATTTCATTGAGGGGAAAATTAAAAAGAAATAAGTTGGTATTAGTTTGGCAATCACATCACATCAAAGAATGGAAAGTGTAAAGCACTTCAAAATGGGTTTCAAGTCCATGAGGGGTTTTTGAATTATATCTTTGGGCATTTTAAAACTCAATATTCCCAAGTTAGTGAAGGCCAAAAAGTCATATATTCTTATGCAATTTGCTACTACTCTACCACATATAGCCATATCAAATCAATCACACCAAGAACCTTTATTTTCAACCCATTTTCAATTTTTCTATTAGATTATTTAACATATATTATTATAAAACTCGTATCACTCAAAGACGAAAGGAAGAAAAAATGAAGGACATGCTCCGCTTACTTTGTCGTAATTCAAAAAATATATATAAAATACTCAAAAAATTTTGCTGATTATTTCTAATTTATTTTCCCTAATTTTTTCGAATGAAAATATCATGAATATGAAAAGTTAAAACGTAAAATTTGGGAAAGGAACACATTTTTCTTTTTTGTTTAATTTAATTTATTATTAAACTAGGCTCTTGTGTAAAGATATAATGAAAGCCTCCAAAAGAATATCAATAAGAGAGAGAGAGAGGAGAGGAGACAGAGAGAGATCTTGACCCATTTCAAAATCATATGCCTATAAAAGCCATAACCCACAAGACATTGCAATTGTAATCATTTTACTTCAAAACTTTTGGAGAGGAAATTAGAGAGTATTAAACATTTCACTTTTGCCTCCAAGAAAACAAATATTTTTGCTTCTTACATTTCATCACTCAAAAGACAACAATTCAAATTCAAAGTTACTCATTTCCAAACTCTCTCAAAAGGTTAGAGTTCTCTCTCTCTCTCTTCGTATTCTTCACTTTTTTCTTTAATTTGATTGGCTAATTTTGGTTTACTTTTTCATGATCAAATATTAGATTTAAGCATGAATATGGCCACCATGTTCATGAGCAAACAGCTCATCACTCAGCAACCCTCGATAAATCTTCCCCCTGGAAGACTAAACACCAACCCTAATTTCTGGAAGAAGAAGCTGCAAAAAGAGAAGGTGGTGATTGTGATCGGCGCCACCGGCACGGGCAAGTCCCGACTATCGATCGACATCGCCACCCGGTTCTCATCGGAAGTCATCAACTCCGACAAAATGCAAGTCTACGAGGGTCTCGACGTAGTAACCAACAAGGTCACCAAGCAAGAACAACAGGGAGTGCCCCATCACTTGCTCGGAACAATCAATCCCTTCTATGATTTCTCGGCGACCGACTTCTCCGACATGGCCGGGCTTTCCTTGGACGCTATCGCCGCCCGCGATCGCCTCCCGATCATCGCTGGGGGCTCTAATTCTTACATAGAAGCCTTAATCGACCCAAACTTTCAATCGAGATACGAATGTTGTTTCCTTTGGGTGGATGTGTCAATGCCTGTATTGTGTTCCTTTGTATCCAAACGAGTAGACAAGATGGTAGCGAACGGAATGGTCGACGAGGCTGAAAAGTTCTTTGATCCTGCCAGAGATTATTCTCGTGGGATCAAAAGGGCAATCGGGGTTCCTGAATTCGACTCGTATTTTCGATACAAATCATTGCTAGACGAAGAAACTCAAGATAAACTTCTCCAAGATGCAATATCAAAAGTGAAGGACCACACATGCAGGCTAGCATTGAGACAATTAGGGAAAATCCAACGGCTCAAAAACGTCAAGGGATGGAAGATACACCAATTGGATGCAACAGAGGCCTTTACAAAGCAAGGGAAAGAATCAGAGGAAGCATGGAACAAGCTTGTGGCGGCACCGAGCATGGCGATAATCGAAAAATTTCTTCACCAAAACGTCTTCACGGTGAAAGCCCCGACGACCTTGGCGTCCCTCATCGGCATACCGAGGAAGAGAAGTGCAGCCATTGCAGCTGCAACTCCTTGAAGGAAAAGCAAGAATGGTGTGCAATGGAAGAAAACTTTTTGGCTATATTAGATTTATTAAGAGGGTGTGGGACAAACAAATAAAAAGGAAGGGAGTTCTAATGTCACAAGATCAAATATAAATTGGATGGTAAAAGATTCAAGAAAAAGCATAATTTTGAGTGAAAAAAAAAGGTACCAAGAGAGGAATTTATTATATATATACATTCCAAATATATCAGTTTGCAAATTAAAAGTGTTTTACATGTTTGACAAATGTAATTCATTGAGTTAAAACCAAATAACTAGGTGAAGGGGTGAGTGAAAATGGTTTAATTTAGTTATATTTTACCATTTGTAAATGGTTACAACTATAAGATATGGTTCTATATATATGTGTAACTTTCATTTTAATGAAATTTTGTTTGCAGGACAATGCATGATTTGGGTAAATTTCTATTTTTTTTTTAGTACAGTGGGAAATTTTGATGAACTTTGGAGATGAATAGGTCTAAACTGCTACCTTAAAAATGTAATAATCACAAAGTTAAAAATACAAAAGATAGAAAATATTTTTTAATCAAATATAGATTTAAGAATATCATATGAGTAATAGCCACAATATATTTTATTTTATTTTGACGAAACAATATATTTTATTTTATTGCTCCATAAGAATGATTAGCTCATAATTATTATCACTCTTCCTATCACAAAAGATTCCTATAATAAACAAATAAACAAACACGTCTAGATATGCTTCTTCTTTCTCAAATTAACTTTTCAAGATGGTTCCAGAATTATCAAATCTCTTTTTTAATTAACTTTTTGTACTTAAAAAAAAAGTGAAAAAAAAAATATATATATATCTTCATCCTAATCAATGGTTCTAAACATCCGTCGACATATCTATCGATCTGTCAATGTTTTCATGAGTTCAACATCGACATAAGAGGTAAATCGATATTACCATCCTAGTATAAAAAAATCGATAAAATATGAAAAATATCAACAAAATGTCACTATATATACATAATATTAATATTAATTATTTTTTAAATTATTTATAAATATGAAAATGTTTATTTGTCAATTTAAATATTTTTTAAAAGTTTTTAATTTCTATAACTTTTACAGAAATATTCATACATTTTATCGATATTTTCATGAAATTGAGATTTCAACATTTCCATCGATATTTAAAACCTTGCCCTAATCTACACTTTCCTAAAGGTAACTTACTTGTTTGGTTGTTCTCATCCTAAATCTACTTTTTTTTTTGTTACTAACAATATTAGACATTATTGACTCAATTTTAGAACTCTCTTGCTTCTTGTTTCTTACCCATTTTGATGACTAACTAAAAGGATCACAAAAAAAAATTATCTACTCTAAGAAGTTATTCTTTTGAGTCTAATGATGGGTTGATATATATATATTAGAGCAGAAGGATTTGAGTTCAAATGATTGCATAATACTTTTTCAGTACTTCATGTAGGGTGCAGCTTCGAACCTCTGACATTATCTTTTGGTTGAAAATATAAGTTTTAATAATTGAATTATGTTTAGTCGACTTTGCATAATGTTAGTTTCATTCTTCATCATATTATCATTTATATATATATTTGACCATTTAATTCAAAATTAATATTATTAATATGAGCATAGCTCAACTGAAGCGTATACTATCTACGAAAATATCAGAAGTTTGAATCTCTACCCCACGTATTAGTTGTTGAACTAAAAAGTCGAAATTTTTATTCAAACTCAAGACACGGAATGCTATTTAATTAACTAATGAATAGAAAAAAGTTAGATTTGTATGTAAAAGTAATAAAAAGAAAATTATTAAATTTACCCTTATTTTCCTTTTTATATATTCTCACCAATGTATTTATCTTTCAAAACTATAAGTTCGTGAATAGTATTGGCAATATACCATAAAACATTACTACCAATCTAAAAAAAAAACAAATTTCAATTAATTTTTTGAAAAAAGAGTTTTCCAATAAGCTCTCGAACCTGTTATCAGGTTTAGTGATTATTTTTTTTAATACAAAAACATATGGAAGTAGAAATTCAAACTCATAACTTTTTTTTTATTTGGAGATAGAAGATTTAACTCATTGAACAAAACTCAGACTGACATGTTTAGTAACTATTATTCAATTTATTAATGCAAGTCCCATGACATCAGCGTCACGTTTGACAATAATGAGTTGGTTTGAATGTCCCATTAGGTATGTACGATTCTCCACCTCCAATTGCCTTTGTAAAAAAAAAAATTTGTTCGTCGTACCATCATAATTATTGATTCGACACCTATGTGTCTCTAAGTGATCCCCTATGATTTTTGGCTCTCTTGTACAAAGTTAAGGAAGCAATAGTTTTAATCTTTGATGTCACATAGGAGTCTAGTGATTATGAGATCAATGTGAAAATGACATATAGATTAAACTTTATCAATTATTGCATCTTTTGGGACAAAAAATACAAATGCACCCTATGAATCAAGCATCAACTAGATGTTATTAATTGACTAATTTTTAATTATTTATGAAAATTAATTATGTCATTTTTAAAGAATTATTTGGATCCTTTTGAAATATAAGGAAAATTATGGATTTTAAAAAGTGGATTTCATTCTACATACAATGAAGGGATCTATATCTTTTCTAGAGAGGAACATGTTTTCAAGGTTTACTTTTTTTTTTTCTTTTTTTGATATTTTTCTTTTGTCTAAATGTTAGTTAACTGTGATATTGTCCGTTTTGGACATAACCCTCACGATTTTTTGGTTTCACCCGAAAGACCTCACAATACTAATGGAGATAATTATCCTCGTCTATAATACCATGGATCACTCTCTTCCCTAATCAATGTGGGACTTTGTTTACACACCTTGTACCCTCGACAAATTTTACTCTAATTTTGTAATATTAATAAAAGAAAATGTATGAATAAACACATTCGAAGCAAATTCATTGCATTAACAAATAGCAAATATCTCTTTCAATATCAATTCGAAACAATCTGAAATTACGTTTCAATATGAGCGAGTCAATCACCTTTCAATCAATTTAAAATTAACCATTAAATCCAAACTCTTAGATTTTTCTTGTATTTCAAAAATGCAAGAATCTACCGATAACACGTTGTCTCGTTGCACATCACAAACTTAAGATCCAAAAAGTTAAACTACAACCTAGTCTACTTAAATTGCAACATGCCCTTCTTTCAATCTAATCAATCCAATTTTTTTTATGTATCTATTTTATAATATAGGTGGTCAAATCATAAAATTTAGTAATCCCTCCATTTTTCCATCTAGCCTACATTTTTGTATCCCTCATTATTACATTATATGAAGTCATCACTTATTTATCCAATTAATCAGCACGTATGTCAATATTCAAGTAACAATATTAAAAGTATATAGACTAATTAAAATCAATCTCAAAAGTTCAAGGATGTAGTCAAAATCCAAGACTCCAAATTATCACTCATTGTAGTCCAATTAACATGTCATATCAACACATTTAGATAATAATGTTGAAAGTATAGACTTAATAAAATCAGAATAGAAAGTTCAATATGGTAAATCAAAATTTATTAAAGTTTAGGGTCAAAATAAACATAACAACTATTAAAGCCTTTTTTCTTTTTGGAGAACATAGCGTTGAGTGGGAATTAGGAACTTTCTACCTTTAACAAAATTATCAATATATCTTAACCACTGAACTATGCTCAATTTACAACTAAATTTATAGTTTTTTAGTACAGAAAAACGTGAAGTGGAATTTGAACATTCGACATGAAGAAAAATAGTAAGATGTCTTAACTGATGAGTTGTACTAATCTCATTATGACTCCAATCTTAAAAAAAAAATAACATAATGCATTGCATTTACATCAAAACAAATGAAACGCCCCAAGAGATAGTCCAATTGGCAAGGACTTGGAGCTCGGAGCTCTTGGTTATACTGACTTAGAGGTTTGAAATTCTAATCTTTTGGTAAGCTTAATATCAAAAGTCTTTGATGTCTTACGATCCGAGCTTTGGACAGGTACAAGTGCCTTTGGGATATAGAGAAATAAAGTTCTGACTTTCTATTCTATAGAAGAAAAAAAAAGTGGTATAAATAATTGAATGGAGAGAAGATCAAAAATCTTTATTATTATTATTATTATTATTTTTAGATCCAAAAAGAGATTCTTGGATGTATCAAGCATGAAGCAAGGGCAGTAGTGTGTTATTGGTGCGTGGCGTGCGGCGGTGCGGCAGGAGGATCCAGTCAACCACATGACGCAGCGCGCATGGCTCGCGCACAACCGGCCGTGGGAGACCACACTTTATCAACAATCTAGTGGGCGGCGCTGTTTACAGTTAGACGGTTGAAGGTATTCTCGTTTGCCAAAAAATTCTCACTACCCATTTTGAATCTGTCTTAGTAGGTTGATTCCAACTTCCACCTCAAGGTATAGTAGGAAAAATTAAACATTCCAAACAATTTTTCCTTCCACAGTTATATTCAGTTATCTAAGCCAATCACAGTAGTTAAGGGTTACGCTCAGTCTTCCGATCAGATGCAAATTTTATTGAAATGAGATTGGATACAAACAATCCCTATAGATATTCACTCTCTAGAGGTCCCAACAAAAAGCAACCTAGCCGTTGCCTCTGATTTGCTACACAAAACCTCTCAAAATCGGCTGCAATGTTTTGTTCCCCACAGCTAAAGAAAAAACTTAAGCAATGTAGCGTCTCAACGCTGCAAACATGGCAGAGTGAATACCAAAATGTGCTTATTTTTTTTTATTATTCGTTAAAGCGTCGTGGCGCCGTGCTCTCAACTTTAATGACCCTGCAACGTCCCTCTTCCATTTTTCATTCGACTCGCCCCTGACTCGTTACGACGTCGATTTGGCTCCACTAATCCCAACAGTAAGTTGGTGGAAACATGTGGTATGCCAATGACATGTTTAGAAGTACGCTCGTGACATGCCGTCGTGGGATAGATAGCGTCAAGGTAAGAATATAGCTTGTCTGCATAACTCTCACGTGTTCACTTATGCAGTAATAACAACACATGGTAAAGTTTAGAGGACGATCATAAATCACCATGGCTGCTACAGGTGTGCTACTCACTAAGGCCACATGTGGTCTAGCATGAAAAATAGCAGTCGAAAGGAGGAATTACTCTTATAAATATTGGAGCAATGTTCAGTAAAAAGTAACCAATATAGCTACCCACTAAAATTCTATTTGAGCTACTTCAATACTAACTTAAAGCTTTGGAGAAACTTTGATTGGCGCCAAACTGGTGTCTAGTTTTTGGCAGTATTCCAAAAAATCTACCGTGACAACCGCACTAAATACCCCCAACTCTACTGCATGGAAGAAGGTGAAAAAATGTTTAACCAT